ACCAAAGGTCAAGCATGGTGGTGGTGGTGTGATGGTTTGGGGATGCTTTGCTTAATATAAGGAATTTGAAATTATTTATACTTTTACTTTTACTTTTGATACTTAAGTATATTTAAAACCAAATACTTTTAGACTTTTACTCAAGTAGTATTTTACTGGGCGACTTTCACTTTTACTTGAGTCATTTTCTATTAACTTATCTTTCCTTTTACTCAAGTATGACAATTGAGTACTTTTTCCACCACTGCAGATGAGGCACATTTTGGAGAGTTCAGGCTTACCACTCCAAATAATATAGTGTGTTTACATTGACTCGTGACAAATGGGAGAGGGTCCATTCAGAAAGAAGTGGTAGGTATTTTAAAAAGTAGGCCTATTTGCACCGCTGAGAAGCGGGGTCTAGAAAACAGTAGCAGTTGTGGTGTTTATTTGTGCTTGTTCTCTAAAGTAGTCTTATGAGAGGGCAATATGTATACACTTTTTCACAATGGCATGCAAGACTATGTTTTATGTGAGTAATCGGAGAGGAAATTACTTAGTTGAAAGAAGTTAAGGTTTTAAGCTTGAATGGTACAGCAGACTGATGAAATGAAGATATATGCTTAATAATGAAATTATATTTAACTATAAATGTGTTAATTATTTCATATAGTTGTGTGCACCAATATCGATAATTTGATATGATTTTGATATCAATATGAGTAAGGCATATCGTGAAATTGGTTCATTCTTCCTGTTAATCTACACTATTCTGTAAAAAAGCATACATGACTGTTCCTGCATGCACAAAGCCCTCTTACAGACCTTCTAACAGGCTGCTTAGCATACTTCAAAAATGAACACTAAAACAAAAACAGTGCCCATCACTAATTTATTGGATTTATTCGATGAGGGATTGCAAGGAATGAATGTATCATGAAGTGTCTTAGACCATACATTTTTTGCCGAAACATTTAAATGGGGGGCTGAAATTAATTAATGTATCCTAGAGTGTGTTTGACCATGAATTGTAACTTACACATTTCATATGGACTTTAGTCCCCCATGAAATAACACCATATATAGATTCTACAGAGCCTACTGAGTATCCCCTACAATACTTTTACTGCGGCACCCAGAATAGTTTTTGCTCTATAAGCCAATATGTATTCCATATACAGTGATCCGCATTGTGTTTGCCAATGGAATGGGTGGAGTAAAAGACCAGGAACACTCTGTATTATTCAGAGTCCCATGAAATGACACCATATATACATTCTACAGACCCTACTGAGTATTCCGTACAATAATGCAAGTAGTCCGGGTAGCCATGATTAGCTGTTCAGGAGTCTTATGGCTTGGGGTAGAAGCTGTTAAGAAGCCTTTTGGACCTAGACTTGGCGCTCCGGTACCGCTTGCCGTACGGTAGCAGAGAGAACAGTCTATGACTAGGGTAGCTGGAGTCTTCGATCATTTTTAGGGCCTTCCTCTGACACCGCCTGGTATAGAGGTCCTGGATGGCAGGAAGCTTGGCCCCAGTGATGTACTGGGCCGTACGCACTACCATCTGTAGTGCCTTGCGTTCGGAGGCCGAGCAGTTGCCATACCAGGCGGTGATGCAACCAGTCAGGATACTCTCGATGGTGCAGCTGTAGAATTTTTTGAGGATCTGAGGACCCATGCCAAATCTTTTCAGTCTCCTGAGGGGGAATAGGCTTTGTCGTGCCCTCTTCACGACTGTCTTGGTGTGTTTGGACCATGATAGTTTGTTGGTGATGTGGACACCAAGGAACTTGAAGCTCTCAACCTGTTCCACTACAGCCCCGTCGATGAGAATGGGGGTGTGCTCAGTCCTCTTTTTTTTCCTGTAGTCCACAATCATCTCCTTTGTCTTGAGCACGTTGAGGGAGAGGTTGTTATCCTGGCACCACACAGCCAGGTCTCTGACCTCCTCCCTATAGGCTGTCTCATCGTTGTCTGTGATCAGGCCTACCACTGTTGTGTCGTGGGCAAACTTAATGATGGTGTTGGAGTCGTGCCTGGCCATGCAGTCATGGGTGAACAGGGAGTACAGGAGGGGACTGAGCACACACCCCTGAGGGGCCCCTGTGTTGAGGGTCAGCGTGGCAGATGTGTTGTTACCTACCCTTACCACCTGGGGGCGGCCCGTCAGGAAGTCCAGGATCCAGTTGCAGAGGGAGGTGTTTAGTCCCAGGGTCCTTAGCTTAGTGATGAGCTTTGAGGGCACTATGGTGTTGAACGCTGAGCTGTAGTCAATGAATAGCATTCTCACGTAGGTGTTCCTCTTGTTCAGGTGGGAAAGGGCAGTGTGGAGTGCAATAGAGATTGCATCATCTGTGGATCTGTTGGGGCGGTATGCAAATTGGAGTGGGTCTAGGGTTTCTGAGATAATGGTGTTGATGAGAGCCATGACCAGCCTTTCAAAGCACTTCATGGCTACAGACGTGAGTGCTATGGGTCGGTAGTCATTTAGGCAGGTTATCTTAGGTTGGAACTGTTGCTGTTAAACTGATTGAAGCAAGATGCTTTTTGAGGCAAACACACTCACACAGTTCTGTTACTTACAGCAGGAAGCGGTCTCATGCCTGACTGAGAAAGCAGTAGATCCAGTTTTGCACAACATACCTATGCGAGTCAGGGTTCTCAACTCTGGCATACTTAAAAAAACAAGTACAGAAACAGACTCAATGCTGAGCATGACCTCAGGGTTGCACTGTCAAAAATTGAGCACAGAATAGACATGCATGTTGAACACTTCAACAAGCCACACACCTCTCATTAGGACTGTGTGTGTGTGTTTTCTGGTCTACATTTGTGTGATGTGATCAATCTGTTTATTCCAGTTCAGAATAATAATAATTACTTGTATTTTAACAGCAACAGTTCCAACCTATACTTTTTTTCAACAATAATTTCTACAGTAAGATGTACAGTAGGCCTGATCATTTTTCATCTGTACTGTTACTTAGGGTTACACTATCAAAAACTGAGCCTGTGTGTGTGTGTGTGTGTGTGTGTGTGTGTGTGTGTGTGTGTGTGTGTGTGTTATGTTATACATCTGTGTGATGTGATCCATCAGTTTATTCCAGTTCAGAATGAAAATGATTTATTGTATTTTGACAGCAACAGTTCCAACCTAGACAGATATTTAAGTGTTTTTAATCGGGAAAAATAAGCATGAATTGCTATTTACATGTATATGGGTATTTCACTTTAATTGTTATTTGTTTTTGTCTATATTGCATTTGTTTTAGGCATAAGGGCAATGAAATGTACCAATATGTACGTATATTTGCATGTTTTCATAAGCTTGGGTCCCAGGAAAACACTGAATTTCTAATTTGGGTCCCAGGCTGAAAAAGTTTAAGAACCCCTGCTATAAGCCAATATGTATTACATTTACAGTGCTTCGCATTGTGGCCACCAATGGAATGGGTGGAGTAAAAGGCCAGCAACACTCCGTATTATTCAGAGCCCCATGAAATGACACCATATGTACATTCTGACCCTACTAAGTATTTCCTACAATACTTTTACTGCGGCACCCAGATACAGACCATACTAAGTATTCCCTGCTGTAAAAATGGCCAGCTCATCTCCTTTCTAAGACCCCAACTTTCTTTTGGTTTTCTTATTGAAATAAGGTCACGCCAATCATCATAATTCTATTAGCCAATCAGCAGCCTTTTTTCCCGGGACTTAGCGTAATACCCGACCAGGCAGGGCCTCAGGCAGTCTGTAGTTTTCCATTCTGATGACCAACCGGTTTTTCTCTCCTGCTTATTCTCAGTGGTGTAAAGTACTTAAGTAAAAATCCTTTAAAGTACTACTTAAGTAGTTTTTTGTGGTATCTGTACTTTACTTTACTATTGATATTTTTGCCTACTTTTACTTTTACTTCACTACATTCCTAAAGAAAATGATATACACCATAAATTTTCCCTGACACCCAATTCACACACAATTTCAAAAGAACATCCCTGGTCATCCCTACTGCCTCTGATCTGGACGGACTCAATAAACACAAATTACTCACTAAACACAAATGCTTCGTTTGTAAATTATGTCTGAGTGTTGGAGTGTGCCCCTGGCTATCCGTCAATAAAAAATAACAAAAAATTGTGCCGTCTGGTTTGCTTTATAGAAGGAATTTGAAATTATTTATACTTTCAGTTTTGATACTTAAGTATACTTTAGCAATTCCATTTACTTTTGATCCTTAAGTATATTTAAAACCAAATACTTTTAGACTTTTACTCAAGTATTATTTTACTGGGTAAATTTCACTTTTACTTGAGTCATTTTCTATTAATGTATTTTTACTTTTACTCAAGTATGACAATTGAGTACTTTTCCCACCACTGCTTATTCTACCTCCTTATATATATTTTTCTTCTTTCTGATGTTTTATTCTGCGTGCAGTTAAATAACCACAATTAGTATCAGAGAGAGTGTTGTTGTATGTGAGTGTGGCTCTTCATTAAACCCTTGAACTGGAACTACCGCTTCCTCGTGTTCTGAATGGACACCCTGTGGTGGTTTTTATTCTGTTTTATTGGTCCTTCGAAATAAACAACCCATATTTTTCACCTACAATACTTTTACTGCGGCACCCAGAATCGTTTTTGCTCTATAAACCAATATGTATTCCATATACAGTGATTCGTATTGGGGACATTTATTTGACCTTGGAACATGTTTTAAAACCCCAATTTAATGCAAATGTCACTTAAATATGAACAAATATGAATCATTTTAATTATTCTGGCAATTATTTTTAATGTCATGAATAAATACAGGTTATTGACGCTTTTCAACTATTATGCGGGGGACTTTTATTTTTGAAGAGTTCCGAAATTCCGTGAACCAGAAGTACTTTTTTTAGTGTAGCTGCTGGAGATGTGCAGTTGTTGGATCCCCACCGAAGAAGAAGAAGTGCGGCTAATCGCTTGAGGAAGAATCACGTTTACCCAGTCATTGTTGTTGTAGGCTACTAAAATATGGAAAAATCTCTCAAACTGCACTCCGATCTCGCAGAAGACGTGGCTACGTCCTCGAGCTTTCGTCAATTCAAGATAAAACACTTCCACTTGGATCTAAGCGTGGACTTTGAGAAGAGAACTTTGAGAGGAACTGAAACGCTACAGCTGAAATGCATCCAAGATTCTCAAAGCGAGCTACTGTTGGACATTCATCCCTCTCTCTCAATGCAAGAGGTGTCCTACTGCCGAAGTGAAGATGATTCGGATTCGGTGAAAGTAGAATTCCTGACGCGCAACTTCACCAGTTATGGCACCACACTGGTTGTAAAATTCCCATCACCATGTAAAATTGAGGAACAGTTTCGAGTGGTGGTCAAGTTTGTTGCATCCGATGGACCAGGGGTAAGAGAATGTCATTCACCCGGCCTAACTAGTGTCACTCTACTCTACCTAGCAACCACAACACAAGCCTGTTACTTCCAGATGATTGGCTACTAAGAATGTATTTATATTTGGCCCTATACTGAACAAAAATATAAACGCAACATGTAAAGTGTTGGTCCCATGTTTCAGGGGGTGAAATATATTTTAGTTTTTTCTCAAATTCTGTGCACAAATGTGTTTACATCCCTGTTAGGTGAACATTTCTCCTTTGCCAAAATAATCCATCCACCTGACAGGTGTAGCATATCAAGAAGCTGATTAAACGGCATGATCATTACACAGGTGCACCTTGTGCTGGGGACAATAAAAGGCCACTCTAAAATTTGCAGATTTGTCACAACACAATGCCACAAGTTTTAAGGGAGCGTGCAATTGGCATGCTGACTGCAGGAATGTCCACCAGAGCTGTTGCCAGATAATTTAATGTTAATTTCTCTATGATAAGCCGCCTCCAACGTTGTTTTAGAGAATTTGGCAGTATGTCCAACCTGCCTCATAACCGCAGACCACGCCAGCCCAGGACCTCCACCTGTGGGATCATCTGAGACCAGCCACCCAGACAGCTGATAAAACTGTGGGTTTGCACAACCGAAGAATTTCTGCACAAACTGTCAGAAACCGTCTCAGGGAAGCTCATCTGCGTGCTCACCAGGGTCTTGACCTGACTGCAGTTTGGCGTCTTAACCGACTTCAGTGGGCAAATGCTCACCTTCGATGGCCACTGGCATGCTGGAGAAGTGTGCTCTTCACGAATGAATCCTGGTTTCAACTGTACCATTTTTTACATTTTAGTCATTTAGCAGACCTCTTATCCAGAGCGACTTACAGGAGCAATTAGGGTTAAGTGCCTTGCTTAAGGGCACATCGACAGATTTTTCACCTAGTCTGCTCGGGGATTAGAACCAGCGACCTTTCGGTTACTGGCACAACGCTCTTACCCACTAAGCTACCTGCCGCCCCAGATGGCAGACCTTTCCTCTACACTTCTGGCGTCGTGTGGGCGAGCGGTTTGCTGATGTCAACATTGTGAACGGAGAGCCCCATGGTGGGGTTATGGTATGGGCAGGCATATGCTGGCTCCCATGGCTGCACTCCTTACCAGTCATGTGAAAACCATAGATTAGGGCCTAATGAATTTAATTCAATTTACTGATTTCCTTATGTGACAGAGCACCTAGATTCGGTCTTATGTAGCAAAATTTGAAATTGTGTTTTTTATATTGGATAAAAGTAGAGAATCAGAGGTAGAAAATGGTATATCATACACTGCAGTTGAGGAACAATGGGGAAATATTTCTGCTTTTAAAGTTGATTAACTTGTAACCCCATTTTTGAGAAAATGGCCCATTGAATGTTTTGCCACACCTACTGGAGAGCTCTTCTTTGTCTACGTCCATTCAGCATCGTTCACACCCTCTTAAGCCTTAGCCCCACCCATCTCTTTAAGGATTCACATGTGAGGGCATGTGCTAAACAGAGGGAGTAGTTTAGTATACAACCAAAGATTTCAAGACTAAAAGTCAAAAAAATAGTAGCCTACAATAAGGAAAAACTCCAGGTAAAAATACACTTTATCTAGTCCTTGGCCTATATCCTAATCTGATTTTGGTGCAGGTCATGTTGTTCTTCACATTACCGTCTCTGGTAAACACACTATATCAAATAAAATCTAACTATTTGTCACATGCACAGGATACAGAAGGTGTAAACGGTACAGTGAAATGTTTACTTGCGTAGTAGCAATATCAAAAACAAAGTGTCTGCTAAATGACGAAAATGTAAATGTAAAACTATTTTATAATTATTAGATGATGCGTACCTGAGACACATAAAATGCAATAGATGGCTGTAATCACCCCCAGACACACCTGGCTAACTTGATGGGTCATGTAATCATCTGGCGAAGTGGAGTATTTTGTTTAGTCATGTAGCTAGCTAAACAATGAACTGGCATAATCCCAACTCTTACTACTACCAATACAAACATTGTCATAGCTGTTGTATGAATCTGCAGGTAGCTAAAGCTAACAACTAGGTTTAATGTTAGCAAGCTAACATTAGGCTATAACTAGCAATGCAAATGTATTTCTGATTTGAATAATATTACTACAAAGATCATACACGTAACGTTCGCTAGCTAGCTAACAGTAATCTTTAACTTGCAATAAAAATAAAATTCTGACAAAATTAGAAACTTATAATATCTGAAAATGTAGCTAGACTCTTACCCGTATACATGGATGAACGCTTCACGGCAGACTGGAACCATTTAACTCAGTTTTGTTTGTGGCTACATCTTGTTTGGCCAACGTTGTGTCAAGTCACTCCGGTTCACACTGACTGTGGCGTTTGCAGAAAGTAGCCCATCACTTATTCCCACTGATCTGTCGATTAGCGGCAGCTAAATTCAGGGCATCAATGTTGTTGAGAAAAGTAGCAAAACTTTTGTAGTACTCGATGACTAACGTTATATCTGTGACTCGTTTCAGGAAACTAGGCATATGTCATCACTACTTCACAGGAGAGGCATTTGAACATTAATGTATTTTTTATCAAAAATGTGTTTTTTGGGCGTAAATGCCTTCTGGAACATGTGAACTTTCATGTGCCTTAATATCAAACTTGTATTCCATCCGTAAATATGAATAAAATAGTTAAATTACAAGCCTAGTTGGTTCTAGCCACGGGAAAAGACAGGAACCTTCCCGCTGTCTATAATGTGAGCTGCTCACTGTGTTGATAGTCCTTTCTACCGTGCAGTTTTTGAAGTGTAACTCAGTAAAATCGTTGAAATTGTTGAATGTTGCATTCATATTTTTGGTCAGTATATTTCAAACCGTAAAATTACTGAAAACCTTTTTCCTTTCAAATTAGATAAATTCTGTTTGGCTATACATTATATTCATAGTCTGCAACGTTGCATGGTTTTAGTTAAAAATTTATTGGAAATATACATAAGTGCAACAAATGAGTGCGTATTCATGAAAACTGCACCACCCTCATTAAACCCAGCATACCTCTGTAGATATCATGGCTGGAGCCTGCTCAGACAGGCGAAAAGAAAGAGCCTTTCCTCTACACTTCTGGCTTCCCTGTGCTGAACCGCAGCCTGTTCCCTGGCTTCCACACCCCCATGACTAAGAGCCCCTACTCAGTTGCTGTGAAGGTAAAGTGTGCCCCTACCACCACACTCAAGCCCTGGTCTCTCTGCCCCCCCTGACCCACTAGGTGTGCTGGCTGGATCCAGAGCAGACAGCTGGGAAGGCCAAGCCTTACGTCTTCACCCAGGGCCAGGCCGTGCTCAACCGCTCCTTCTTCCCCTGCTTTGACACGCCGGCCGTCAAGAGCACCTACTCGGCCTCCGTGAAGGTAAGCCCCTGGACTGGATTCTGACTGAGCCAATGTCCACAAAGAAACATTGTGACAGACAGCAGCACATCAATCATATGTTTCTCTTTGCAGGATAATCAAGCGTCTGTTTCCTTTTTGTCATTCACATATTTTTTGTCTCTTATCCTGTTGATTCTATTTTGCCTGTCATTCAACTTCACGTGCTTTGCCTGGTGTGTTGTGTTCACTGGTGTTCCAATACTTAAAGCACTCTGAATTATAGGTCTGGTATTAAAACACATTGCTGAAAAAGCACTTAATGTGTGGTGGGAAACTCACCTTATCCACCACTACGACTACATTATGTCTGTATTAGTAATGGATATTGGTACCATCATTAGTCCTAATGACTCTGGCCCAAGACTGCCCTGTCTGCCTCCACAGGTTCCTGATGGTTTCACAGCAGTGATGAGTGCCAGTAAAGGAGAACACAGGATGGCAAACAACACGTTCCTGTTCACCATGGAACAGCCCATCCCCTCCTACCTGGTGGCCTTGGCTGTAGGAGACTTGGTCTCTGCTGAGGTTGGGCCAAGGTGAGAGAGTCTCTCTGTTGCCTTATCTGGTGGCCTTGGATAGGTCCCAGATCTGTTTGTGCTCTTGATTTGTTTGTGCTCAAGCCAAATATGACAATTCCACAAGGAGTTGTCAAGAGAGCAGAAATAGACTGGCACACAGGCTAGGCCTTGGATGCTGAACTGTCTAAATCTCTTGACAGTTTGACAAGTTTTTTGGTCATTTAAGGGGCATCATTTGATAGTGTTAAGCACTCTGCTTCTAGTATAGACGTGAGGGTTGGTACAAGTCAATATTCCTCTCCCGTCAAAAGCATTTATTGATAACAACCTGGGCGTGTTGATCATTGAACCACAAAATGCATTCTCAGTGTCAGACTGAATAGAGGGATGAGAATCAAAAAGCAGGGTGAAAGTTCAACTTGAATGAAGTTTGAACTTGAGTGAAAACTGCACTTGCCACTTATGGGCCATATAATGCTACTGAAGAATGTGCTTTGAATAACATGCATGATAGTGTTTGCCTATGAAGTTTCAATGCTTGGTAGTCATTGTAATTCTGTATCTTTTAGGACCCGAGTGTGGACAGAGCCATGCCTACTGCAGGCAGCCAAGCAGGAGTACGACGGAGTCATCGAGGAATTTCTGGCTGTGGGGGAGAAACTATTTGGACCCTACGTCTGGGGAAGGTGAGATTCCCCAATTAACAATATGGTCCAATACTTCAGTGGTCAGTCAACAACCCTGGTTCTGAAGAGCTACAGGGTATGTAGGATTTTGTTCCAGCACTGCACTAAAACACCAGACCTGACAACAGCTAATCAACACCTTAATTAGTTGAATCAGGTGTCTTAGTGCTAGGCAAGAATAAAAAACTGCACACTCTGTAGCTCTTTCCATGACTAGGGATGGTGACCACTGACTTGGAGCTTGCAGCGTCATGACTTATTCTGCTTATAGACATACAGCTACATCATTGGTTCGTCCCCTCAGGTATGACGTGCTGTTCATGCCACCGTCATTCCCCTTTGGGGGCATGGAGAACCCCTGCCTCACCTTCGTCACCCCCTGCCTCCTGGTCGGAGACCGCTCACTGGCTGACGTCATCGTGCACGAGATCTGCCACAGCTGGTTCGGTAATCTGGTAACCAATGCCAACTGGGGTGACTTCTGGCTCAACGAGGGCTTCACCATGTACGCCCAGCGCCGGGTGTGCAGGGAGATCTACGGTAAGAGACTGTCAATCAATCAAATGTATTTTATAAATCCCTTTCTACATCAGCAGAGTACATCCCTTTGTCACAGTTTGTCTACAGTAGACTGTAGACCAGGGCTCTCCAACCATGTTCCTGGAGAGCTACTGTCCTGTTGGTTTTCAAACCTTAATCAAGTGTCCCTAATTCTAATAATTAGCTGGTTTATTAGCTGGTTTATCAGGTAAGTTACAACTGAGGTTGGAGTGAACCTACAGGAAGGTGCAGCGCCTTGCAAAAGTATTCATCCCCCTTGGCGTTTTTCCTATTTTGTTGCATTACAACCTGTAATTTAAATTGATTTTTATTTGGATTTCATGTAATGGACATACACAAAATAGTCCAAATTTGTTTTAAAAAAATTCTAAAAAATAAATAACGGAAAAGTGGTGCGTGCTTTTGTATTCACCCCCTTTGCTATGAAGTCCCTAAATAAGATCTGGTGCAACCAATTACCTTCAGAAGTCACATAATTAGTTAAATAAAGTCCACCTGTGTGCAATCTAAGTGTCACATGATCTGTCACATGATCTCAGGATATATACACCTGTTCTGAAAGGCCCCAGAGTCTGCAACACCACTAAGCAAGGGGCACCACCAAGCAAGCGACACCATGAAGACCAAGGAGCACTCCAAACAGGTCAGGGACAAAGTTATGGAGAAGTACAGATCAGGGTTGGGTTATAAAAAAAATATCCGAAACTTTGTACATCCCACGGAGCACTATTAAATCCATTATTAAAAAATGGAAAGAATATGGCACCACAACAAACCTGCCAAGAGAGGGCCGCCCACCAAAACTCACGGACCAGGCAAGGAGGGCATTAATCAGAGGCAACAAAGAGACCAAAGATAACCCTGAAGGAGCTGCAAAGCTCCACAGCGGAGATTGGAGTATCTGTCAATAGGACCACTTTTAGCCGTACACTCCACAGAGCTGGGCTTTACGGAAGAGTGGCCAGAAAAAGCCATTGCTTAAATAAATAAATAAGAAAACACATTTGGTGTTTGCCAAAAGGCATGTGGGAGACTCCCCAAATATATGGAAGAAGGTACTCTGGTCAGATGATACTAAAATTGAGCTTTTTGTCCATCAAGGAAAATGTCTGGCGCAAACCCAACACCTCTCATCACCCCGAGAACACCATCCCCACAGTGAAGCATGGTGGTGGCAGCATTGAAGGAATGATGGATGGCGCTAAATACAGGGAAATTCTTGAGGGAAACCTGTTTCAGTATTCCAGAGATTTGAGACTGGGATGGAGGTTCACCTTCCAGCAGGACAATGACCCTAAGCATACTGCTAAAGCAACACTTGAGTGGTTTAAGGGGAAACATTTAAATCTTTTGGAATGGCCTAGTCAAAGCCCAGACGTCAATCCAATTGAGAATCTGAGGTATGACTTAAAGATTGCTGTACACCAGCGGAACCCATCCAACTTGAAGGAGCTGGAGCAGTTTTGCCTTGAAGAATGGGCAAAAATCCCAAGTTTTCTGTTTTTTTGGGGTCTTATTTCTTGTTTGTTTCACAAACATATTTTGCATCTTCAAAGTGGTAGGCATGTTGTGTAAATCAAATGATACAAACCCCCCAAAAATCAATTAAAAATTCCAGATTGTTAGGCAACAAAATAGGGAAAATGCGAAGGGGGGTGAATACTTTCGCAAGCCACTGTAGCTCTCCAGGAGCAGGGTTGGCGAGCCCTGCTGTGGACTGTACTTTGCCTAACATTGTATGATGGGCTCATTCTCAAGTCCCACAACTCTTTCCATTTGAAAGTAAACAGTAGTTGTCTACACAGCTATTTGTGCACACCTGGCTGTCTTATCTCTCTCCAAAGCCCTGATGTTTGTGTTGTTATTTGCAGGAGAGGCCATCACTTGTCTGGAGGCAGCGACTGGGAGGGCTTTACTCAGACAGCACATGGACAACACCGGAGAGGACCACCCTCTCAACAAACTGCGTGTGAAGATCGAACCAGGTCAGACTTTGCTTACATTTACCCTTTACTGCTAAGATTAAAGCCAAGACCAAGGCCAATTTCATTAGTAGCCCAGTGGGCTTAGTTTCATTAGTAGTTCATCCGACTGAGATTTGCCTATGGAGCTGCAGACCCAATAGAACTGATACACTTGATCATGACTGCTCAAGTTAAAGGAAAAAATGTCATCTGTATTTTCCCCCCTCCCTCAGGTGTTGACCCTGATGACACTTACAATGAGACGCCTTATGAGAAGGGCTTCTGTTTCGTCTCCTACCTGGCCCACCTGGCTGGAGAACAGAGTCACTTCGATGCCTTCCTCAAGGTTGGTGTTGCTTCTCATTCTACAGTGCCTTCAGAAAGTATTCATACCCCTTGACTTATTCCACATTTTGTTGTTACAGCCTGAATGAAACATTGATTAAGTAATTGTTCTCACCAATCTACACACAATACCCCATAATGACAAAGGGAAAACATGTTTTTACTATTTTTTACATAGTAGAATAATAGTGAAGACATCAAAACTATGAAATATCACACATGGAATCATGTAGTAACCCAAAAAATGTGTTAAACAAATATTTGAGATTTTTCAAATAGCCATCCTTTGCCTTGATGACAGCTTTGCACACTCTTGGCGTTCTCTCAACCAGCTTCACCTGGAATGCTTTTCCATCAGTCTTGAAGGAGTTCCCACATATGCTGAGCACTTGTTGGCTGCTTTTCCTTCACTCTGCCGTCCGACTCATCCCAAACCATCTCAATTGGGTTGAGGTCGGGGGATTGTGGAGGCCAGGTCATCTGATGCAGCACTCAATCACTCTCCTTCTTGGTAAAATAGCCCTTACACAACCTGGAGGTGTGTTGGGTCATTGTCATGTTGAAAAACAAATTATAGTCCCACTAAGCCCAAACCAGATGGGATGGCGTATTGCTGCAGAATGCTGTGGTAGCCATGCTGGTTAAGTGTGCCTTGAATTCTAAATAAAATCACAGACAGTGTCACCAGCAAAGTACCCCCACACCATAACACCTCCTCCTCAAAGCTTTACGGCGGGAACTACACATGCGGAGATCATCCGTTCACCCACACCGCGTCTCACAAAGACACAGCAGTTTGAACCAAAAATCTCCAATTTGGACTCAAGACCAAAGGACACATTTCCACTGGTCTAATGTCCATTGCTCGTGTTTCTTGGCCCAAGCAAGTCTCTTCTTATTGGTGTCCTTTTAGTAGTGTTTTATTTATATTTTTTTAGCAATTTGACCATGAAGGCCTGATTCACGCAGTCTTCTCTGAACAGTTGCTGTTGAGATGTGTCTGTTAATTGAACTCTGTAAAGCATTTATTTGGGCTGCAATCTGAGGTGCAGTTAACTCTGAGCCTATCCTCTGCAGCAGAGGTAACTCTGGGTCTTCCATTCCTGTGGTGGTCCTCATGAGAGCCAGTTTCATCATAGCGCTTGATGGTTTTTGCGACTGCACTTGAAGAAACTTTCAAAGTTCTTGAAATTTTCTGGATTGATTGACCTTCATGTCTTAAAGTAATGATGGACTGTCATGTCTCTTTGCTTATTTGAGCTGTTCTTGCCATAATATGGACTTGGTCTTTTACCAAATAGGGCTATCTGTATACCACCCCTACCTTGTCACAACACAACTGATTGGCTCAGACACATTAAGAAGGAAAGAAATTCCACAAATTAACTTTTAACAAGGCACAACTGTTAATTGAAATGCATTCCAGGTGACCACCTCATGAAGCTGGTTGAGAGAATGCCAAGAGTGGGCAAAGCTGTCATCAAGGCAAAGGGTAGCTACTTTGAAGAATCTCAAATATTAAATATATTTTGATTTGTTTAACACTTTTTTTGGTTACTACATGATTCCATGTGTTATTTCATAGTTTTGTTAACTTCACTATTATTCTACAATGTAGAAAATAGTACAAATAAAGAAAAACCCTGGAATGAGTAAGTGTGTCCAAGCTTTTGACTGGTACTGTGTATATGTATATATTTACACACAGACACAGTGCATTCAGAAAGTATTCAGACCCCTTGACTTGTTTTTTCCCCTCATCAATATACACACTACCCCATAATGACAAAGCAAAAACAGTTTTTTTTTTTTTTAATGTATCGAACTGAAATATAACGTTTACTTAAGTATTCAGACCCTTTACTCAGTACTTTGTTGAAGCACATTTGGCATTGATTACAGCCTTGAGTCTTCTTGGGTATGACGCTACAAGCTTGGCACACCTGTATTTGTGGAGTTTCTCCCATTCTTCTCTGCAGATCCTCTCAAGCTCTGTCAGGTTGGATGGGGAGCGTTGCTGCACAGCTATTTTCAGGTCTCTCCAGAAAGATGCTGGAGGAAACGGGTACAAAAGTATCTATATCCACAGTAAAACAAGTTCTATATCGACATAACCTGAAAGGCCGCTCAGCAATAAGAAGCCACTGCTTCTGATCGGGTTCAAGTCCGGGCTCTGGCTGGGCCACTCAAGGACATTCAGAGACTTGTACCCGAAGCCACTCCTGCTTTGTCTTGGCTATGTGCTTAGGGTCATTGTCTTGTTGGAAGGTGAACCTTTGCCCCAGTCTGAGGTCCTGAGTGTTCTGGAGCAGGTTTTCATCAAGTATCGCTCTTTACTTTGCTCCGTTCATCTTTGCCTCGATCCCCACTAGTCTCCCAGTCCCTGCCGCTGAAAAACATCCCCACAGCATGATGCTGCCACCACCATGCTTCACCGTAGGGATGGTGCCAGGTTTCCTCCAGACGTGTCGCTTGGCATTCAGGCCAAAAAGTGTAATCTTGGTTTTATCAGACCAGAGAATCATATTTTTTTTGTTATGGGGGGGGGGGGGGGTAGATCAGCTTTAATATTGCAGATAGATTGTAACTTCCATCAATGTAATTTTCTGCATCACTTCCAATCCCCCATGTTTTTTTTTCTCGCAAATACATATATACAGTGGGGAGAACAAGTATTTGATACACTGCCGATTTTGCAGGTTTTCCTACTTACAAAGCATGTAGAGGTCTGTAATTTCTATCATAGATACACTTCAACTGTGAGAGACGGAATCGAAAAAAAAAATCCAGAAAATCACATTGTATGATTTTTAAGTAAATAATTTGCATTTTATTGCATGACATAAGTATTTGATACATCAGAAAAGCAGAACTTAATATTTTGTACAGAAACCTTTGTTTGCAATTACAGAGATCATACGTTTCCTGTAGGTCTTGACCAGGTTTGCACACACTGCAGCAGGGATTTTGGCCCACTCCTCCATACAGACCTTCTCCAGATCCTTCAGGTTTCGGGGCTGTCGCTGGGCAATACGGACTTTCAGCTCCCTCCAAAGATGTTCTATTGGGTTCAGGTCTGGAGACTGGCTAGGCCACTCCAGGACCTTGAGATGCTTCTTACGGAGCCACTCCTTAGTTGCCCTGGCTGTGTGTTTCGGGTCGTTGTCATGCTGGAAGACCCAGCCACGACCCATCTTCAATGCTCTTACTGAGGGAAGAAGGTTGTTGGCCAAGATCTCGCGATACATGGCCCCATCCATCCTCCCCTCAATACGGTGCAGTCGTCCTGTCCCCTTTGCAGAAAAGCATCCCCAAAGAATGATGTTTCCACCTCCATGCTTCACGGTTGGGATGGTGTTCTTGGGGTTGTACTCATCCTTCTTCTTCCTCCAAACACGGCGAGTGGAGTTTAGATCAAAAAGCTCTTTTTTTTTTGTCTCATCAGACCACATGACCTTATCCCATTCCTCCCCTGGATCATCCAGATGGTCATTGGCAAACTTCAGACGGGCCTGGACATGCGCTGGCTTGAGCAGGGGGACCTTGCGTGCGCTGCAGGATTTTAATCCATGACGACGTAGTGTGTTACTAATGGTTTTCTTTGAGACTGTGGTCCCAGCTCTCTTCAGGTCATTGACCAGGTCCTGCTGTGTAGTTCTGGGCTGATCCCTCACCTTCCTCATGATCATTGATGCCCCACGAGGTGAGATCTTGCATGGAGCCCCAGACCGAGGGTGATTGACTGTCATCTTGAACTTCTTCCATTTTCTAATAATTGCGCCAACAGTTGTTGCCTTCTCACCAAGCTGCTTGCCTATTGTACTGTAGCCCATCCCAGCCTTGTGCAGGTCTACAATTGTATCCCTGATGTCCTTACACAGCTCTCTGGTCTTGGCCATTGTGGAGAGGTTGGAGTCTGTTTATTGAGTGTGTGGACAGGTGTCTTTTATACAGGTAACGAGTTCAAACAGGTGCAGTTAATACAGGCAATGAGTGGAGTACAGGAGGGCTTCTTAAAGAAAAATAACAGGTCTGTGAGAGCCGGAATTCTTACTGGTTGGTAGGTGATCAAATACTTATGTCATGCAATAAAATGCTTTTTGTTTTAGGATTTTTGTTTTAGATTCCGTTTCTCACAGTTGAAGTGTACCTATGATAAAAAATTACAGACCTCCTACATGCTTTGTAAGTAGGAAAACCTGCAAAATCGGCAGTGTATCAAATACTTGTTCTCCCCACTGTATATACACATATATACAGTTGGAGTCTGAAGTTTACATAGACCTTAGCCAAATACATTTAAACTCAGTTTTTCTCAATTCCTGACATTTAATCCTAGTAAACATTCCCTGTCTTAGGTCAGTTAGGATCACCTCTTTAAGATATGAAATGTCAGAATAATAGTAGAGAGAATGATTTATTTCAACTTTTATTTATTTCATCACATTCCCAGTGGGACAGAAGTTTACATACACTCAATTAGTATTTGGTAGCATTGTCTTTAAATTGTTTAATTTGGGTCAGACGCTTCGGGTAGCCTTCCACAAGATTCCCACAAGAAGTTGGGTGAATTTTGACCCATTCCTCCTGACAGAGCTGGTGTAACTGAGTCAGGTTTGTAGGCCTCCTTGCTCGCACATGCTTTTTCAGTTCTGCCCGCAACTTTTCTATAGGATTGAGGTCAGGGCTTTGTGATGGCCACTCCAATTCCTTGACTTTGTTGTCCTTAAGCCATTTTGCCACAACTTTGGAAGTATGCTTGGGGTCATTGTCCATTTGGAAGACCCATTTGTGACCAAGCTTGAGATGTTGCTTCTATATATCCACATCATTTTCCTTCCTCATGATGCCATCTATTTTGTGAAGAGCACCAGTCCCTCCTGCAGCAAAGCACCCACACAGCATGATGCTGCCACCCCCGTCCTTCACGGTTCGGATGGTGTTCTTCGGCTTGCAAGCGTTCCCCTTTTTCCTCCAAACATAACGATGGTAATTATGGCCAAACAGTTCTATTTTTGTTTAATCAGACCAGAGGACATTTCTCCAAAAAGTACGATCTTTGTCCCCATGTGCAGTTGCAAACCGTAGTCTGGCTTTTTTATGGCGATTTTGGAGCAGTGGCTTCTTCCTTGCTGAGCGGCCTGTCAGGTTATGTCGATATAGGACTCGTTTTACTGTGGATATGTGGGTCCTCTGTAGCTCAATTGGTAGAGCATGGCACTTGTAACGCCAGGGTAGTGGGTTCGCTCCCGGGACCACCCATACGTAAAAATGTATGCGCACATGACTGTAAGTCGCTCTGGATAAAAGCGTCTGCTAAATGGCATTATTATTATTATTATTATTATAGATAGTTTTGTACCCGTTTCCTCCAGCATCTTCACAGGGTCCTTTGCTGTTGTTCTGGGATTGATTTGCACTTTTTGCACCAAAGTACATTCATCTCTAGGAGACAGAACGTGTCTCCTTCCTGAGTGGTATGACGGCTGCGTGGTCCCATGGTGTTTATACTTGCGTACTATTGTTTGTACAGATGAACGTGGTACCTTCAGGCATTTGGAAATTGCTCCCAAGGATGAACTAGACTTGTGGAGGTCTACAATTTCTTTTCTGAGGTCTTGGCTGATTTCTTTAGATTTTTCCATGATGTCAAGCAAAGAGGCACTGAGTTTGAAGGTAGGCCTTGAAATACATCCACAGGTAGACCTCCAATTGACTCAAATGATGTCAATTAGCCTATCAGAAGCTTCTAAAGTCATGACAACATTTTCTGGAATTTTCCAAGCTGTTTAAAGGCACAGTCAACTTAGTGTATGTAAACTTCTGACCCACTGGAATTGTGATACAGTGAATTATAAGTGAAATAATGTCTGTAAACAATTGTTGGAAGAATTACGTGTCATGCACAAAGTAGATGTCCTAACCGACTTGCCAAAACTATAGTTTGTTAACAAGAAATATGTGTTCAGTTGGTAGAGCATGGCGCTTGCAACGCCAGGGTTGTGGGTTCGTTTCCCACGGGGGGCCAGTATGAAAATGTATGCACTCACTTAACTGTAAGTTGCTCTGGATAAGAGCGTCTGCTAAATGACTAAAATTTTAATGTAAAAACAAGTTTTTTAATGACTCCAACCTAAGTGTATGTAAACTTCCGACTTCAACTATATATATATCATTTTTTTAAAATATATTTCCCTTTATTACGTTCCAACCCCACCACCCCTTCCCTAATTGGAGTAAACTACTGAACAACAACGCTTAGGCCTCTACTTCCAGCTTATACATACTATATACATTTTATGGACACAGTCAATTTTACAATATTTATTTTTTGTTTGTTTTTACTCCTGAACTTCCTCAACCTCTCCGATCATTTTCATGATGTCCATCCGGTTTGCTTCTATATGCCGTATCTCTCCAACTGTGCTCCTTCAAAAAAGCTCTCAACCTATAACCTATATACTTATTTTGGACACAGCATGCCCTACATTAGTTATCTTGCTGTTATTAGTTTTTATTAGTCCCATCCTTCAGCTCCATTCAACACCTCCCATCTATCTCTTAACACCATCCATATTGGATATCTATTTGCCATGTATTTTTCAACTGTACTGTGATGTTTCACAAAAGTTCTGAACCCTTCTATTCTCATTGTTTCTACAGACTGTAAATTGAAAATAAACATTTTTGCTAAGTGTATTATTATATTATTGATCAATTGACTATGACTTTTCAGATCACCCAGTAGTGTTATCTGCAATATTGCAATCCTTCAGCCATTCCTGGACCTGTGACCAAAAACAAGCCACAAATGGACAGTACTAAAACAAATGATCTAATGATTCTGTCTCTTCGCAGCAAAATCTGCAGAGCTGGGAAGGTTGTATCCGCCATATAAATAACATTCTATTGGTAGCAAGAATTTTGTATAATAATTTAAATTGAAAAATTCTAAGTTTTGAATCCGGCGTCGTTTTGCGTATCAGTTCATAAACACTATGCCATGGAATCGGTACGTCAAAAATCTCTTCCCAACTATTTTGCAATCTATATGGGACGGCTGTCAATCCTTTGGTCCTTAAATGGAACTGGTATACTTTTTTATTTATCACAATTTTCTTTTACCAATTATGTTCTTTAATGCAGGGCCGACAGACAAGTTCCTTACTTTTTCCCCCTTCCACTTTCCTTTTCCATTTTTGCGGAAATCCTGCAATTATGTGGTTGTAATTTTGGGTAGAGCAGACATTTCCATATGTTTTTGTTAGCTGCATGTGCAACAACTCCACCAGTCCTACCTATGATATCATTTATGAAGATTATACCTTTTTTTTTTTTTTTTACTTTTTTTCAAAAAAGACTGGCTTTTTATCAATTAGTATATTTGAGTTTAACCACTATTTGTTGCATTATTTGTTCTGTTGGTTCTGGAGGATTAAATTGAAATTGCAACCAACTTTCTATGGCTTGTTTTAGAAATAGTGATGTTTGGGAGATTATTTCAAATAACTGAAAGTGAGAGGTTGTAATCTGAATAAAGAATCTTGTTTCTCATGGTCTGAGAGTCTTTTGGTGCCTTTTGGCAAACTCCAAGCGGGCTGTCGTGCCTTTTACTAAGGAGTGGCTTCCGTCTGGCCACTCTACCATAAAGGCCTGATTGGTGGAGTGCTGCAGAGATGGTTGTCTTTCTGGAAGGTTCTCCCATCTCCACAGAGGAACTCTAGAGCTCTGTCAGGTTCTCTAGGAAGAGTCTTGGTCGTTCCAAACTTCTTCCATTTAAGAATGACGTAGGGCACTGTGTTATTGGGGACCTTCAATGCTGCAGACATTTTTTGGTACCCTTCACCAGATCTGTGCCTCGACACAATCCTGTCTCAGAGCTCTACGGACAAGTCCTTCGACCTCATGGCTTGGTTTTTGCTCTGACATGCACTGTCAACTGTGGGACCTTTATATAGACAGGTGTGTGCCTTTCCAAATCATGTCCAATCAATTGAATTTACCACAGGTGGACTCCAATCAAGTTGTAGAAACATCTCAAGGATGATCAATGGAAACAGGATGCACCTGAGCTCAATTTCGAGTCTCATAGCAAAGGGTCTTAATACTTACGTAAATAAGGTATTTCTGTTTTATTTTTAATACATTTGCAAAAATGTCTAATAACCTGTTTTCGCATTGTCGTTATGGGGTATTGTGTGTAGATTGCTGAGGACTTTTTAAATCCATTTTAGAATATGGCTGTAACGTAACAAAATGTGGAAAAAGTCAAGGGGTCTGAATACTTTCCGAAGGCACTGTATATGCATGGCAGGGTATGAGGGCAACAGTCTGACATATGGGTGTTTCTTCTCACAGGCCTACGTTGACAAGTTCAAGTTCTGCAGTGTTATGGCCGAGGACGCCCTGGAGTTCTTCCTGGAGTATTTCCCTGACCTGAAGAAGAAAGGAGTACACAAGATTGAGGGTAAAAGACAGTGTAGTTGCTTTTAGAGTGTTAGATTGGCCTTTTAGGGTTGTACTTGCCTTTAGAATGAGTCTTTAAGCTTGGAAGTGAGATTGTAACAGCAAACTAACCTCACTCTCCTTTTGGTCTCTTTGCTAGGTCTGGAATTTGATAGCTGGCTCAATGTGCCCGGTTGGCCTCCCTATCTCCCTGACCTGTCGGCTGGCCAGAGCCTGATGAAGCCTGCTGAGCAGCTGTCAGAGCTGTGGGCTGCCGAGGGCCTGGATATGGCCAGCATCAAGAAGACCAACATCCAGTCCTGGAAGACTGACCAGGCTGTCTACTTCTTGGAGAAGATCATAGAGAAGTCCCCACTGCCTAGAGGTAGGACATGATGGTAACCACTTCTGCACTGATACCCCTAGCACTATCATTGTACTGAAGATGCATGTGATTCACCCCAATTCCTCAGTTTGCAGATCTCAATTCTTTATATCATTACTTTTACTTTTTGTAACTTGCACCTGCAAGTCTGGATGTGCGTTCACTACTTTTGAAAAGAGTCACACCAATGATGTACCTTCACTCTGACTTTGATAAGGTAATATGGAGAAACTGGAGGAGCAGTACCCTCACATCGTGAAGTCAAACAACGCTGAGCTACGACTGCGCTGGGCCCTGCTCGTCGCCAATAATCATCACCAGCCAGGATATCAACATGTGCGCAGTTTCCTCAGCTGCCAGGTCAGAAAAACAAATGTTTGGTCCTCAACCATCAATTATAGGGCCTCCCGAGTGGCGCAGCGGTGTAAGGCACTGCATCACAGTGCTTGAGGCGTCACTACAGACCCGGGTTCGATCCCAGGCTGTGTCACAGCCGGCCGTGACCTGGAGACCCATGAGGCGGCGCACAATTGGCCCAGCTAGTTTGTTTTATTATATTAAATATAATATATTTATATGATAATATGTGTGTGTGTGTATGATATACCATATGTGTATTTTTATAGTGTCCGTTTTAAAGTTAAATTAGTATTTTTCAGGTGTCTTAAACGATCATGTAAATAGTAGTATCTTAGCAATAATATATGAATAATACATTTGTATCTTGCTCCCAGGGGAAACAGAAGTACACATTGCCTGTGTACCGTGCACTGTGGAATGGATCAGCGGAGACCAGGGCTCTGGCCACAGAGATCTTCAATGCCACCTCCCATCAGCTCCATGTCAACGTCCACAACTACGTCAAGAAGATCATAGGAGCTGAACATGCGATCTAGTCTAACTGACCCTGGCCTAGAGATATAATAGAGGAGGAGTAGTAGTCTTACCCAGTACTTTCAGATGGCCTCCTTTATTTAAATGTACTGTACCAGGTTAGGTTGAGATGCCAAAATCATCTTGTTTTTCTCTAGCCTGGTCAGTGGTCACAAAGGAAGAGGCCATTTGACATCTTTCACATGCATCTTTTATGGTTAATTTTTTGTATTTACGCAGGCCAGCCTGAAAGGCTCTGCTGTGGGCATATCTTACTTAAAGCACTTACTATGGGAGGGCATAAAACTGTGTAAGTAGTATTTGTAAAAAATAAAAAGGATAAATATAATTAAGGATTACTTTGATGTATTGAGTATGTAAAAAATAAATAAATAAATAAACTAAGCTGTATTTTCATAACTCTTCCAATCAGTAAAGGTACATTCTTTTGAAGTAAATCTAGTAGTTGGTTTGCAAGATTCGATGTATCTTATTGATTTCATTGCCTATTCGCCATCCACTGCATACTTTATTTTACTACCTTTTATGGCAGAATATTTCATTTCACTTGAGAACAAAGCTACTGTATACTCTGCCGAAGTATCATAATCGTGCAACTGTAATATGTGGTTGCATTTCCGCTTCTCTCCAACGGAAGTTGGACACATTTGGTTTAACCGCTAAATACGTCCTCCCATCTATTAAATTCGTTGGGTGTGCCTTCTCTGATGATAACCTATAGCTAGCCAAGTACATCTTCGCTTCAACAAGATAACCTTGCTCTGGGGGATTCAGAATCGCCATGAAGTACGCATTGGTAAGAATGTCCTGACGTTTAAATAAATTATTTCCAGGGTTGCTTGTCTGCGTACAGTAGCTACTTTAGCTAGTTACATTTGCTAGCAGCACCTGATTGCCAGTCATAAGGTTGCTTGCAAGTAGTTCCTAGCTAGTAAGTTAGCTAGTCAGCTAGCTAACGGTACTTTGTTGATAAACAGAGCGGTAACAAAACACTGCAGCTGTCAGATAATGTATCTTCCCTGAACTGGTCATATTATGTCAAATTTAAACGCACAGAATTAGAAGATTTAGCTCTGAGATTGACCCGATAAAAAGATAACTAGCTTACTAGCCTAGTGACTCATGTTGTAAATTTGTGCAAGTTACTCATCTTGCCTAGCTGTCAGCCAAGCAACCAACTGTGCTGGTACATCTGTCACCGCAGCCTTTGCAGCAAGCGATGCTTTTTTAACCTTAGAGAATTTGGTTGTATTTAAAAAGCAACTACACAAGTACTGCCAGTACACAAGCTATTGACAAATGGCCTCCAGGAGACTGATATTTTGTTCACAGATTCCCTTTTTAAGCCTACTTTATCCTTAATCAGATTACTATCATTCTGAGACAATGAGTGCCTTAGAAATGTATAATAGCAGATAATTTCCAGAATGAAAACAGTTTAATATTATCCATGTTATACGGTGCCTTCAGAAAATCATCACACCACTTGACTTGCAAATGTTGTTGTGTTACAACCTGCATGTAAAATGGGGAAATTAGATTTTCTGTCACTGGCCTACACACAATACTCCATAATGTCAAAGTGGAATCATGTTTTTAGACATTTTTACAAATTAACTTTAAAAAATGAAACTCAAATGTCTTGAGTCAATAAGTATTCAACCCCTTTGTTATGGCAAGCTTAAATAAGTTAAGGAGTAAAAATCACATAAGTTGCATGGACTCGGCGTGCAATAGTAGTGTTTAACATGATTTATCCGTAAGGTCCCTCAGTCGAGCAGTGATTTCAAACACAGATTCAACCACAAAGACCAGGGAGGTTTTCCGATGCCTCGCAAAGAAGGGCACCTATTGGTAGATGGGTACAAATAATAAAAGCAGATATTGAATATCCCTTTGAGCATGGTGAAGTTATTAATTACACTTTGGATGGTGTATCAATACACCCAGTCACTACAAAGATACAGTCGTCCTTCCTAACTCAGTTGCCGGAGAGGAAGGAAACAGCTCAGGGATTTCACCAGGAGGCCAATGATGACCTTAAAATAGTTACAGAGTTGAATGGCTGTGATAGGAGAAAACTGAGGATGGGTCAGCAACATTGTAGTTACTTTACAAAATGGCAGAGGAAAAAGAAAGAAGCCTGTACAGAATAAAATATATTCAAAAACATGTATCCTGTTTGCAATAAGGCACTAAAGTAGAACTGCAAAAAAATGTGGCAAAGAAATTAACTGTCCTGAATACAAAGCTTTATGTTTGGGGCAAATACAACACATCTCTTCATATTTTCAAGCATGGTGGTGGCTGCATCATGTTATGCGTATGCTTGTCATTGGCAAGGACTAGGGAGTTTGTTTGGATAAAAATAAACGTAATAGATCTAAGCACAGGAAAAATCTTAGAGGAAAACCTGGTTCAGTCTGCTTTCCAACATACACTGCACCTTTCAGCAGGACAATAGCCTAAAGCACAAGGTCAAATATACACTGTTGCTTACCAAGACGACATTGAATGTGCCTGAGTGGCCTAGTTACAGTTTGGACTTAAATCAGCTTGAAAATCTATGGCAAGACCTGAAAAATGGCTGTCTAGCAATGATCAACAACCAACTTGACAGAGCTTGAAGAATAAATAAATAAATAATGTGCAAAGAATATTGAACAATCCAGGTATTCAAAGCTCTTAGAGACTTACCCAGAAAGACTCACAGCTGTAATCGCTGCCAAAGGTGATTCTAACATGTATTCACTCAGAGGGTTGAATACTTATCTAATCAAGACATATGAGTGTTTTATTTGACATTGCATAGTATTTTGTGTAGATCGTTAACAAAAAATGACAAATTCATTTTAATCACACTTTGTAACACAACAAAATGTGGAAAAAGTCAAGGGGTGTGAATACTTTGAAGGATTTATGATTATTATTATTATTATTATTATTATTATTATACCATAAAACCTATTTTCTCTCTTGTATATAGTCCACGACGGTAGCTGTGACTGCTGGGGTGGTATTGCTGTCCACTGTGGGCATAATTGTAGCCCTCTATCTAGGCAAGAAGAAGAAGCCTCCAGTCACCTTGCTTGACTCTACTAAAAAATACCAGCTAGCGCTCATCGATAAAGAGGTACTGTGGGCTATTGAAACAGATACTCTGTAGGAAATTAATTAGACATTTTTGGTCTGTGCTTCATAGGCCTGTGCCTAATTCATATATGTACTCGATGGAAATAATTTTTGTCTTAACATGTAACTGAATGTTGGTAGTAGTTGTTGCTCCAGTGCATTGTGACAAAACCAATGTACACTACATGACCGAAAGTATGTGGACACCTGCTCGTCGAACATCTCATTCCAAAATCATGGGCATTAATATGGAGTTGGTCCCCCTTTGCTGCTATAACAGTCTCCACTCTTCTGGGAAGGCTTTCCACTAGATGTTGGAACATTTCTGCGGGGACTTGCTTCCATTCAGCCACAAGCATTAGTGAGGTCGGGCACTGATGTTGGGCGATTAGGCCTGGCTCGCAGTCAGCGTTGCAATTCATCCCAAAGGTGTTCGATGGGGTTGAGGTCAGGGCTCTGTGCAGGCCAGTCAAGTTCTTCCACACCGATCTCGACAAACCATTTCTGTATGGACCTCGCTTTGTGCACTAGGGTAATGTCATGCTGAAACAGGAAATGGCCTTCCCCAAACTGTTGCCACAAAGTTGGTAGCACAGAATCGTCTAGAATGTCATTGTATGCTGTAGCGTTAAGATTTCCCTTCACTGGAACTAAGGGGCCTAGCCCGAACCATGAAAAACAGCCCCAGACCATTATTCCTCCTCCACCAAACTTTACAGTTGGCACTATGCATTGGGGCAGGTAGCGTTTTCCTGGCATCCGCCTAACCCAGATTCGTCCGTCGGATTGCCAAATGGTGAAGCGTGATTCATCACTCCAAAGAACGCGTTTCCACTGCTCCAGAGTCCAATGGTGGCGAGCTTTACACCACACCAGCCGACGCTTGGCATTGCGCATGGTGATCTTAGGCTTGTGTGCGGCTGCTCGGCCATGGAAACCCATTTCATGATGCTCCCAACAAACAGTTCTTGTGCTGACGTTGCTTCCAGAGGCAGTTTGGAACTCGGTATTGAGGATTGCAACTGAGGACAGACGATTTGTACGCGCTCTGCGGTCCCATTCTGTGAGTTTGTGTGGCCTACCACTTCGCGGCCATTGTTGCTCCTAGACGTTTCCACTTCACAATAACAGCACTTACAGTTGACCGGGGCAGCTGTTGCAAGGTAGAAATTTGACGAACTGACTTGTTGGAAAGGTGGCATCCTATGACGGTGCCACGTTGAAAGTCACTGAGCTCTTCAGTAAGGCCATTCTACTGCCAATGTTTGTCTATAGAGATTGCATGGCTGTGTGCTCAATTTTTTTATACACCTGTCAGCAATGGGTGTGGATGAAATAATAGCCGAATCCACTAATTTGAAGGGGTGTCCACATACTTTTGTATATATAGTGTATGTATGGCTCAGTATGTATGGCCTCTTTTCATAGGTGATCAACCATGATACTCGCAGGTTCCGCTTTCGACTTCCCTCAGTAGAACATATCCTGGGACTGCCTGTAGGTAAGTCTTCACTTGCACATTGTTCTTTCTGGGTTTTGTGAAGAGACAGTTTGATCATTGATTATTATTTGGTACAATTCAGTGCCATTAATATAAATAGTCCTTTAGCTCACCAGCATAATAACTACAATCACAGCGTAATACTTGATTCGCGTTCCTGGAATGCTCTTTACTGTATGAGTCATTTAGCAGAACAATCAGAGGGTGAAGCCACACCCAATGACCCTAGCAGTATTTTTAATCGGTGTTGTCTTTGTGTTTCTAACCACCTTATTTGTTTTGTCTAGGGAATCATGTATACCTCTCTGCCCGTATTGACGGCAGCCTGGTAGTCAGACCATACACACCTGTGTCCAGCGACGACGACAAAGGATATGTTGACCTGGTTGTGAAGGTATGTATGGCTTGTCAAAGCAATCCTATATCAAATACTGAAACTGAACACGCTAGTACTATCAAACCTGGGTCTGTATGTATCAAGAGTCTCAGAGTAGTAGTGGTGATCTAGGATCAGGTTCCCTTTGTCCATGTAATCTTATTCTTTGTGATCGAAAATAAAAACTGATCCTAAATCAGCACATATTATGAGAAGCTTGATACATACGGACCCTGATCTGCAAAGCATATTTCATGGATAACGTTTCTCCCCAGATCTACTTCAGGAATGTGCACCTCAAGTTTCCTGACGGGGGGAAGATGTCCCAGTACCTGGAGAGTTTGCAGCTGGGAGACGTGGTAGACTTCAGAGGACCAGGAGGCCTGCTGGAGTACAAAGGACATGGTACGACCAGTCTGCTGCCTGGCACACCCTCCCTCTGATATTTACAAATGATGTGTCCCAAATGGTACCCTATTTCCTATATAGTGCAATACTTTTTACCAGGGCCCATAAGAATCAGGTGCCATTTGGGACGCACACATAGTCTGCAATGGGATGGGTGTTTTAGCTTTGTGTACTTAAGTGTGGTGTGGCTGGCTGAGACTGATCATGTGTGTACATACTTGTTTTCAACCTTAAGTCTACTGAATAAGTAAACAGTACTTGTGTTATGTGTAATATCTGGCTTTCTGCATCGCATTTTGCAACTTTCATGCCCCAATGGCTCCAGAAAAGCACTACCTAAAGAATATAATTTTACTGTATTGCCACTCAAATATATTCTCTCAGTATTATTAGATGATAATTGATAATGGACACACCCAACAACTGTCTTCCATTTTGGATAAGATAACTCTTGTGTCTCATCGCTTTCTCCCATTCCATTCAACAGGGCAGTTTGCAGTTCAGACAGACAAAAAGTATCCTGCTGAGATAAAAGTTGCCAGTACTGTGGGTCTGATAGCTGGAGGAACAGGTGACTCTTCCCTTCCCAACCCTGCCCTCTGAACCTAAACTATTAAATGTTGTCTAAGCACAGGTAAATGTAGAGTAAGCGCTTTTAGTTCCTGGTGCTGAACTCCCTTCCCTGTCTGTAGGCATCACCCCTATGCTACAGCTGGTGCGCGCTATCATGAAGGACCCCAGTGACAGGACCACCTGCAGCCTGCTGTATGCCAACCAGGTGTGTGGCTGCCGCCCACACTGGCCTCTCTCCTAAAATAGACTTTTAATATAATCTCTATAAATAAAGGACAGATAAATGCTTAATACTAGCTTCACTGTGGATGTAGCTCATAGGTTTGCTTAGGTTGAGAGTTAACACTGAACCAGACACCATTGTTAACTGTGTGTTGTGTGTGTGTGTGCGTGCGTGCTCATGGCAGACTGAGAAGGACATCCTGCTGAGGGATGAGCTGGAGGAGGTCCAGGCCAGACACCCAGACCGCTTCAAGCTGTGGTTTACAGTGGACAGGGCACCCAAGGGTATGTGACTTATGGCTTTTGCTTGCGTTGCTCAAGTGTTGGCATCCAGATTTCAGAAGTCTTAACAAATGTGTAAATTTGTATTATCGTCTTGAATTAGTTTTCATTGTGTATATTATGTCACAATAGCTTTTCAGACTGCTGAAAAGCACAAACTAGCTGTCTCCCTGCACAGACATGTGCCTTAGAGACTATTTGCACCAGAGAGACTAAAGTATATGCACCTTATAAATTATTTACACTGACTACCCACACATCCAACCCTTACACACAAACACACACACAAGAACCCATAAACACACACACAAGCACACACACACACTCAGAACTCATATATATACTATTGATTCCACTAACCACTATATTACTAAATAGTATAAATACAGTCAATTATTACTATGCATACTACCTCTTCTACTACTTGTTATGTTTGACTTGACTCTTCATTGTTATTATTGGTTAATGTACTGCATTGTTGAGGGAGCTAGCACATAAGCCTTTCGCTGCACCTTTTATACCTGCTGTAAACTGTGTATGTGACGAATACATTTTATTTTATTTGAATCCTTATGCATACCGGTACTTGTTTGTGATCCCATGAAAGATTGAATAAGATCCATTTGTGTGGCTCAGGCTGGGAGTACAGTGAGGGCTTCATCAACGCGGACATGATCCAGGAGCACCTGCCCGCCCCCAGTGACGACACCTTGGTGCTCATGTGCGGTCCGCCCCCCATGATCCAGTTTGCCTGCAACCCAAACCTGGACAAGTTGGGCTACCGGCAGAGTCAGCGCTTTGCCTACTAGTCTCCAGCCTAGGGACTCTCCTCCCAGCCACCCCCGGCCTGGGCCTTCTCAATTCAACAAGGACATAAATTCAGTGCTAGACATGGGTCGAAACTACTGCTTGAGAACCAGCATCTCTTAAAAAATATTGGCTTAAATCTATTGCAGAGTTCCAGCACCTAAATATTTATACAATACCAGCACCCAAAATGAGTACCGGCACCTATTTCAGTCCACTTGAAGCACTGCATCAATCTACTGCCAAAAGCCCCATCTAATAAGTGCAGACATGGCCTCTTATCTATCAGGTTGAGCATTAAATGCTCACTTGCAACCAAAGTCCTTCCTTTGTATTATTGGCCTCCACTAAGCTCTGCCTCCATCCCCTGCTGATAGCTACAATTGATTGGGCCCTGTGTATTTTTAGGTGAGCTGTTGAGGCTTTGATTTATTATTTATGTTCTTACCCTTGAGCGTTCTTCCTAAGAACCGGACAGAGAGAACAGAACATAAAGATAAAGCCGCATATTGAACTGAATTACGCCCAGGGGTGCAGTGCTAAATATGAGGAGGCCGCCCAGGCAGCATTGCTTTAAACGCACACATGACAAATGATATGCACTTAATTATTTCAGCTTCTGCAGAGATGCATTATACTGTATTTTGGCATCTGCTGTGAGTGTTACAAATATATACAGTGCCCTCCATAATTATTGGGACATTGACAATTTTGTTGTTGTTTTGGCTCTGTACTCCAGCACTTTGGATTTGAAATGATACAATGACTATGGGGTTAAAATGCAGACTGTCAGCTTTAATGTGAGGGTATTTTCATCCATATCTGGTGAACCGTTTAGTAATTACAGCACTTTTTGTACATAGTCCTCCCATTTTAGGGTGGACCAAAAGTATTGGGACAAATTCACTTATGTGTATTAAAGTAGTCAAAATATGAGTATTTGGTCCCATATTCATAGCAAGCAATGATTACATCAAGTTTGTGACTCTACAAACTTGTTGGATGCATTTGCTGTTTGTTTTGGTCTCAAATTATTTTGTGACCAATAGAAATGAATGGTAAATAATGTATTGTGTCATTATTTTGGAGTCTTTTTTATTGTAAATAAGAATAGAATATGTTTCTAAACACTTCTATGTTAATGTGGATGCTACCATGATTATGGATAGTCTTGAATGAATCGTAAATAATGATGAGTGAGAAAGTTAGACCCACAAATATACCCCTCCCCCACACACACAAAAATGCTAACCTCCCCTGTTTTTGTAATAGTGAGAGGTTAGCATGTTTTGGGGGGTATGATATTTGTACTAATGTGATTTTCTCACTCATCATTATTCAAGATTAATTCAGGACTATCCGTAATCATGGTAGCATCCACATTAGCTAACGTGGAAGTGTAGAGTGAGATTCAGTGGGCATAATTATTAAAGGCGCTTTTGTATGCCTGTGGCAATTGTTTGATATATTATACTTTAATAAGAGTTTTATCTGCAATGCACTACACTCGTTGTAAAATGTATTCTGTGTTTATGAAGAGAAAAAACAATAAAATTTCTGACAGCATTTCAAATTGCTTCCACTCATACATGATCCATCCTGTTCTGTTTACGTATTTGGCTGGACCATTCCTTAGATATTATCCCTGGTTGCAAAATAGAGTATTGAGGAGGAAAACACCGTTTGCTGGAACAACGTAGCTCTGACTGTGGCAATTGAATGCTGTCGCAACGAGGAGTAATCTACATTTGAGCAGACGATGTAGTCTGCTCCAAATGCTGGGACAGATTGGGAGTTGGAAATGTTCATCTAATTCCACTGCCTACAGTACAGTTCAACCCCCTTTGTTGACAGGGATTAGGGATTACTGAGGATTGGAGATGCTGAATGGCAGTTCGTTTGGGGGTAGGAGTAGCTCTCTATCCACAAGTAAAGGGCTGGATGAGGATTTTTTATTTTATTTTTAGTAAACCTTTCTTGTGCTGCTAAAATGTGGCTGAGGCAGCTCAGGGCTGAATACAACTTTTCACATACTGTACAACCATTATTGTAAACGACAAGTAATTTTCGAATGGGTGTCATGTTTCATGTGGGTTCGTGCAGGCACTATTATGGAGGTAATGCGATTCCACTGAATCATTAATAGCAGAAGCACGTGCATGACCTGGGAATAGAACAGTACTATTTTTAGCCTTCGTTGATTTGATATCATTCATAGTTTACATATTTTGGGGTTAGGCCTAAATCTAAACTATTTTAACCGTTGTACAATTGCAATTTTAACCACTAGATGGAGACTCTGTGTCATTGTTTATGAGAGCCAGTTAAACGTAAACCCGTTGCTTGGCATTAATGTAACTTGTCATTTTCATTAGCGGTGCTGCGTGACTGTTCGGCTTGTTTTTGTGAGAATCCGGAAGGGATCAGGGTCACATTTCCCTTGCCGTCTGGAGTATCAGGTACGTCTGTTGAATGAAAATGTTAACTAGCTAGCTACAACAACGAACAATATTTTTGCAGATCCAGTCATTGCAATTGTGTCAGGGTGTTTGGTATTGGTTCGATACAGCCAGATGTGGCCAGCTTTCTTCGAAATGCGAACGCTAATATGCTAGCAGCTAGCGTGCGTTAGCTTCGGGCTCAAACTATAATTTACTAGCAATCATGTCAGCCAAATAATATTAAAGGAGTTTGGGGGGTGTCAAGTCGTTATCTTGCTATTCAATTCCATGCTTCTAAGAATACTATTGTGTGTGGATGTTTTGTTCTAAGCTAGCCAACCAGCTGATACAACAGTCTTGCCAGTTTTGTTTGTTTGTTTGTTAGCTACTAGATAGCAAGCGAACTAACTACCTTTTTCGTCCGTCTAGCAAGAACAATTTTGGTCTTCTTGACATTTTAGCAGAGTAACTATTCGTCTTCACTGTTGTAAAATGCTAATTTAACGAGTTAATATTTTCACGACTGTATAGTTGAGCATGATATAAGGTGGTGTAAAAATGTATGTCAAAGGAATACTGGACGCTTCACACATTCAGTGCTGAATGCAAGAGCAGGCAAGGACAATCTGTCGGTGGGAAATGTAGACCTACCAAAAATCCACATCAGGTGCAATTGTCACAGGTGAAGTTAGTTGAAATTTGAAATCTAGTTATTTAAGTGAACAACTACAGTAACTGGCTAGCCAATGTATTTATTTGCCAAATTAATTGTGATTTATTGAGTCCTCAGCACTGGCCAACTGAGAACTGAAGTGCCAGGCTTCAGCAGGACACACGGGCAGAGGACAGGTCATCAGGCAGTCTCCCTATGTCAGGCCGAAACGGGTCTGCGAGCGATGCAGACTGTCGAATCTCGGAGGACTGCCGTGTCCCGGATGTAGAGCTGATGGAGCTGGGACCCCTGCTGGAGGAGGCGGGCCGGCAGGCAGCGGGGAAAGGCATGATGTCGGAGGTGAGAGTGGGGGAGACAAAGGTTACATCCCAAATGGCACCCTATTCCCCCTAATTTTGATCAGTTTCCTATGGGCCCTAGTTAAAAGTAGTGCACTATATAGGGAATAGGGTGTCATTTGTGATGAAGCCGGACTCAACTGCTGTATTACCACAGGTAATTTCTAAAGCATGGCGCAGAATCTTCCAAATCAACATTTTGAAAGATTCAGGTGGTCTGCAAACACCAAAGTTTCTAATGAAAGCATGGGTGTATTCAGAGAGGTGAAAGTTCAGAACGTTGTAGAACTCCTTATTGGCCTATTCTACATGGCAGACAAATTGGTTTGTTCTACACAATGCGTTTATCTGAATGTTCTGTAGCGTTGCACCCTCCTAAATAGACCCCAGTTGAAGACAAAACAAATGTAGGGTGAGGTCATTGAGAAATAGAGCTCAGCTTGGTGGGGTCACACCTAAGTAATGGTCAGGGAAAAGTAGATCAAAGCCAACTAGGATTTGTTTCTCATGTGTTCACTATTATACTGCACCGCTCTACTCGCCTAACTAAATCACCTTCCACCTTCTCTCTGGCTGTCTGCAGGGGGCCTCAGTTCTGCCTGATGATGATGATGATGACGACGAAGAGGTGGAAGGGGTCCTGACGCTGCCCCTCCAGGCTCACCACGCCATGGAGAAGATGGAGGAGTTTGTGCACAAAGTAGGCATCATTGGGCTGTTCCAGAAAGCAGGATCATTAAGTTAGCCAGCTAACTTTGATAACAAGCCAAATATATCTCTTGATTTTCTGATTCATTTAGAAAGCTAAACTTGAATATGGGTTGTTGGTTGTCGAGTCAATTATACCATGCCCATTTCAAGTCTATATTTCTTGAAAATATGAAGTTATTTCAGAATTCTGGGACAGTTAGCTGGCTAACTCATTGATCCTGCTTTCTGGAACAGCCCCATGGCTGCTCTGTCTAAGTTCATACACAGAGAGAATAAGACTGGTGAGATGAACAGGACATTCATGTAAGCCTATACCCTTGTGTTTCAGGTGTGGAAGGGTAGCTGGAGGGTAATCCCTTTTCATGTCCTGCCGGAGTGGCTGAAGGACAACGACTACCTCCTGCATGGACACCGGCCCCCGATGCCCTCCTTCCGCGCCTGCTTTGGAAGCATCTTCAGGATCCATACAGAAACAGGGAACATCTGGACCCACCTTCTGGGTGAGTGTGTGAGATACACTAAATGGCCCAAAGTATGTGGACATCCCTTCAAATGAGTGGATTCGGCTATTTCAGAGACACCCGTTATAAAATTGAGCACACAGCCATGCAATCTCCATAGACAAATAATGGCAGTAGAATGGCCTGTGCTGAAGAGCTTAGTGACCTTCAATGTGGCACCGTCATAGGATGCCGCCTTTCCAACAAGTCATTTCGTCAAATTTCTGCCCAGATAGAGCTGCCCCGGTCAACTGTAAATGCTGTTATTGTGAAGTTGAAACGTCAAGGAGCGAAAACAGCTCAGCCGCGAAGTGGTAGGCTACACAAGCTCACCGAACGGGACCGCCGAGTGCTGAAGCGCATAGTGCATAAAAATAGTCTGTCCTCGGTTGCAACACTCACTACAGACTTCCAAACTGCCTCTGGAAGCAATGTCAGCACAAGAACTGTTCATCGGGAGTGTCATGAAATGGGTTTCCATGGTCAAGTAGCCGCACACAAGCCTAAGATCACCATGCGCAATGCCAAGCGTCGGCTGGAGTGGTGTAAAGCTCGCCGCCATTGGACTCTGGAGCAGTGGAAACGCGTTCTCTGGAGTGATGAATCACGCTTCACCATATGGCAGTCCGACAGACGTATCTGGGTTTGGCGGCTGCCAAGAGGACCCTACCTTCCCCAATGCATAAGTGCCTACTGTAAAGTTTGGTGGAGGAGGAATAAGGGTCTGGGGCTGTTTTTCATGGTTTGGGCTAGGCCCCTTAGTTCCAATGAAGGGAAATCTTAACGCTACAGCATACAATGACATTCTAGACTATTCTGTGCTTCCGACTTTGTGGCAACAGTTTGGGGAAGGCCCTTTCCTGTTTCAGCATGAGAATGCCCCGTGCACAAAGCGAGGTCCATACAGAAATGGTTTGTCGAGATCGGTGTGGAAGAACTTGACTGGCCTGTACAGAGCCCTGACCTCAACCCCATCAAACACCTTTGGGATGAATTTGAACGCTGACTGCCCGACCTCACTAATGCTCTTGTGGCTGAATGGAAGCAATTCCCCGCAGCAATGTTCCAACATTTAGTGGAAAGCCTTCTCATTAGAGTGGAGGCTGTTATAGCAGCAATTGGGGGACCAACTCCATATTATTGGCCAAGAATTTTGAATTATATGTTCGACGAGCAGGTGTCCACATACTTCTGGCCAATCCTCACATGTTTAACCTTATGCCTATAAAGTTGCTGTGAAGCACAAGTCCATGTTCCCCACAACTAGGGCACATTCAGTAGAAGTTCAGCGTGCTGCTGTTAAGCAATGCAGTCACTTATCCATACTACATAGCAAAGAATTGTGCCTCCTCTACACATCACATTTCCATATACAATGGCCTTGATTGTGCCCCCCAATGTATATACAGTATGCCCCATAGAGATCCCTTTCTTTTGCTAATATTAATTTGTTATGATATGCCCTATATGATTACTGATCCACTAATGATGGCCTCACCTCTCCAACCCCCAGGGCTGATCCTGTTTATTTGTCTGGGCACATACACCATTCTGAGGCCCAACATGTACTTCATGGCGCCCCTGCAGGAGAAGGTGGTGTTTGGGATGTTCTTTCTGGGCGCCGTGCTCTGCCTCAGCTTCTCCTGGCTCTTTCATACCGTCTACTGCCACTCTGAGAAAGTGTCTCGCACCTTCTCCAAGTAAGGCCACATGGCCCCCCTCCCTCTTGCTCACGCAGAACTTTGTTTGTTTTCCAATTAGCACTCCTGTGTTTCTGAGAAGAAATGTAATGTTTCATTTCAGAAATGGTTTTAAGTTGGAGTGTCATCCAAATGGATCTGCCTCATCCTTCATCAAACCTCCACGGTGTTGTTTCTCCCTTTAGGCTTGACTACTCAGGTATCGCCCTGCTGATCATGGGTTCCTTCGTGCCCTGGCTCTACTACTCGTTCTACTGTTCCCCGCAGCCACGCCTCATCTACCTCACCATTGTCTGTGTGCTGGGCATCGCCGCCATCGTAGTGGCCCAGTGGGAACGCTTCTCCACGCCCGCGCACCGGCCCACACGAGCAGGTGCTGCACCACATATTAACCAGCCTGTCAGAGTGAACTGTGACGTAGATACAGAGCAAGGACATGCATGTAAATGTGTTAATACAACATACCATATAGCTACTATCTTTATAGTAAGATTTGTTAATTTTATTTGAATGTTTCTATGAATATCGCTAGCAACAACAGAATAAGCACATTTTTAATTACATACCTAAAGTAGAAAAGAGGAGAATATCGTATTGCTAATGATGTCAACTTTATTTCCCCAGTCCTGATATAGAGCAAATTATACTCATTGGGGCCAATTACTCACTGGAGTATCTGACAGGCTTTGAAGAAGCACCTGCAAATAGGCTACCAGTCCATTATAATGTGGGGAGGTCAAAAAAATGAAACTATCTACCAAATCTATTAATTTTAAAATGTTTTACTTCTCCTTGCCATTATCATTTACCTGATGATAGGACAAGATGTGGGGGGGAAAAAAGTACAAAATATATTTTGCTAACGTATGATGGGTTGCTGGTTTTCCTGGGAGGGGGTCGCTGGGCAAGAAAAGGTTGAAGACCCCTGTCCTATACTACGGATTCTCCAGCCCAGTGCTTCCACCAAACAACCTTTCCCCTCCATGTCTCCCACAGGAGTGTTCATGGGCCTGGGACTGAGCGGCATCGTCCCCACAGTCCACTTCACCATCGAGGAGGGCTTCGTCAAGGCCACCACTGTGGGACAGATGGGCTGGTTCTACCTGATGGGCGCCATGTACATCACTGGCGCCGGACTGTACGCCGCCAGGATCCCCGAACGCTACTTCCCCGGCAAATGTGACATCTGGGTAAGACAGGCACTTTTTTTTTTTACCCTATTCCATTTATACTGCAACACTCTGGTCAAAAGTAGTGCACTATATAGGCTGCCATTTGGGATTATTATATAATAATGTTATGGTCATTTATCAAATGCTTTTATGTGATGTGACTTACGTTCTCACGTTCTGTACTGAACTGTAGGCATATGCGGCCCATGCAGTAATCAAACCCCTAGAACTTTAGGTTTGCAAACGCCACGCTCCAACCAGAGGAGCCTTTGGAGATACTCTGGATGCATCCCAAATGGCACCTTATTCCCTATTTAGTGCACTACTTTTGACCAGAGCCTTATGGGGTTAATGCACTAAATAGAGAATGATGGTGCCATTTGGGACGCACCTCTGACCTCCCTCTCTCCTCAGTTCCACTCCCACCAGATCTTCCATGTCCTGGTGGTGGCAGCAGCCTTCATCCACTTCTACGGCGTCACCAACCTGCAGGAGTTCCGCTACGGCCTGGAGGGAGGCTGCACTGACGACACCCTTCTCTGAAAGCGGCCCAGCTGTGGCCCCCTCAGCCATTTGCTGGTCGATCCGCCTCCCTACCCTATAAAGTACCGCTGGAACACGCCATGGTCCCCCGTAGCTCCTTCTCTCCACCCTTCTTCTCCTCCCCTGATTTGCTCATGTCATACTTGGTTTTCTGGTGGTGTTTCTCTGCTTGGGCTCCTTTCTCCCCATTTAAAGTAGCTTTAGCCAGTGAACTATATGGAGGGGCATCCCGCCGATGCGGCACCACTTTTTTAAATCAAAATGAAGCTCTAGGCTTGACTTTAGCTCATTAAGAACAACAGGGTTTTGACCAGATTGATTACATGTTCCATTGAAGGATGGGAACCTTTTGAGAGTCATAGAGATATCGTAATGGTGTCTTTCTTGGCCTCCAGAGCTTCCTACATCAAGCTGTAGGAGGCTTATGTGATAGAATGGGTCTGGGTTGGGGTCAATACATTCCATATTTATTCTGTCCTCTATAGCTCAATTGGTAGAGCATGGCGCTTGTAACGCCAGGGTAGTGGGTTCGATCCCCGGGACCACCCATACGTAAAAATGTATGCGCACATGACTGTAAGTCGCTTTGGATAAAAGCGTCTGCTAAATGGCTTATTATTATTATTATTAATTGAAATTCAATTAATGAATTGAACATTGAAAAGTCCTAATTGAAAACAATGGGCAATTCCAACAATTCATTAAGGGTATTTGATTCTGTTCATAAAAATACATTTTGACAAGCAGTCAACCCCAACCCAGGTATGGGTTATGGAACTGGAAGGCAAACAATTAAATTACTTTCCTACAAGACACGGTGCTTGGTACCCTTACCCCTCAAGTCCCTTTTCAATTGAACACAATCTTGTATGATTGATAGCTAGTATGAAACTAACCTTGCAATGCACAATGGGCAAATCTGGGAATAGGTCCTCTTTCTCTTCTCATCTTGAGTTTCGTTTCTTTTTAAGGCTAAATTTCAGAACTCTAAAGGTCAAATTATTGCACCTTAACAGTATGTTATTACCGTTTAAACGTTAAGTCATTGCATGGGGTCCACCATGTAGTGTGAATGAATAATAATTTAGTATTCCTGTGCCTTACATGCAAACCTCACCGGCCACGTTGCGAACGCGAGCATTGCAAAATAAATTTACACATGCATGTTCTTCAATCATTTCACTCACCGCTCGCGTGAATGAGTGTCTGCGTAGCCAAGCGCTAGAATAGAACTTGGTTCTATTTGAGAAGCACCACATGCTGCAAGTCCCCTCCTTATTGGATATCAGGAAGATAACTAGAAACTAACTAGGTTTCCCTTTTTATCTGTGGATTATTCGTCCGAGTAGAGAAACGCATGGCCGGTGTAGTCAGCATGTTAGGCCAATGGAAATAGTTTTTAAATAGATGGGTCAATATTGCATTCAAGTGAACTTCATTAGGATCTCCAGATATGATAGGAACCTTTTTATCTTTTTTCTTATATCAAATCACTATTCAACTTTTGACCTCCAATAGGCTGACTTTGTGGCTTTATTACAAAGACTAAGCAATCTGTGTATTCTTGACTTTGTGTTGTATCCTGTGTAGACAAGTTGATGGATCATACATTTCCCTGAAATGTAAACACATAATAAATATTTATTAATGGGAACCAAACCAAGTCATGCATCTTCTGTCCGATATAGTGATGTTGCACTACTTTTCACACGCATGAACATTGTTTTGTCACTATATTTGTTTAGCCATTTGAGTTACTAATGCTGCTTCAATGTAGTCCATTTCATGGCGTATTGATAGACTGACCATATTAATGCCACATTTGTCTATCCACATCTATACAAGTCATAATTTAACTGGAGTGTTGCATATAATTTAATCACTCCTAGTACAGTGCATTCGGAAAGAATTCAGACCCCTTGACTTTTTCAACATTTTGTTACATTACAGCCTTATTCTAAAATTGATTAAATAGTTTTTCCTCATCAATCTACACACAATACCCCATAATGACAAAGCTGCCAAGGCAGCAGCTACTCTTCCTGGGGTCCAGCAAAATTATGGCAGTTATACATTTAAAAAACATTACAATACATAACAGATTTCACAACATATTAAGTGTGTGCCCTCAGGCCTCTACTCTACTACCACATATCTATAACACAAAATCCATGTGTACTTGTGTATAGTGCGTATGTTATCGTGTGTTTGTATGCATGTGTTTGTGTTGCTTCACAGTCCCCGCTGTTCCATAAGGTGTATTTTTAGATGTTTTTTTAATATAATTTTACTGCTGGCGTGAGTTACTTGATGTGGAATAGAGTTCCACGTAGTCATGGCTCTATGTAGTACTGTGGGCCTCCCATAGTCTGTTATTGACTTGGGGACTGTGAAGAGACCTCTGGTGGCATGTCTTGTGGGGTATGCATGGGTACCAGTAGTTCAAACAGACAGCTCGGTTCATTCAACATGTCAATACCTCTCACAAATACAAGTAGTGATGAAGTAAATCTCTCCTCCACTTTGAGCCAGGAGCGATTGACATTATTAATGTTGGCTCTCTGTGTACATCCAAGGGCCAGCCGTGCTGCCCTGTTCTGAGCCAATTGCAATTTTCCTAAGTGCCTCTTTGTGGCACCTGACCACACGACTGAACAGTAGTCCAGGTGCGACAAAACTAGGGCCTGTAGGACCTGCCTTGTTGATAGTGCTGTTAAGAATGCAGAGCAGCGCTTTATTATAGACGGACTTCTCCCCATCCTAGCTATTGTTGTATCAATATGTTTTGACCGTGACAGTTTACAATCCAGAGCAATTTAGTCTTCTCAACTTGTTCAATTTCCACATTATTCATTACAAGATTTAGTTGAGATTTAGGGTTTAGTAAATGATTTGTCCCAAATACAATGCTTTTAGTTTTTGAAATATTTAGGACTAACATATTCCTTGCCACCCATTCTGAAACTAACTGCAGCTCTTTGTTAAGTGTTGCTGTCATTTCAGTCGCTGTGGTAGCTGATGTGTATAGTGTTGAGTCATCCGCATACATAGACACACTGGCTTTACTCAAAGCCAGTGGCATGGCGTTAGTAAAGATTGAATAAAATAATGGGCCTAGACAGCTGCCCTGGGGAATTCCTGATTCTACCTGGATTTTGTTGGAGAGGCTTCCATTCAAGAACACCCTCTGTGTTGTGTTAGACAGGTAACTCTTTATCCACAATATAGCAGGGGGTGTAAAGCCATAACACATACTTTTTTCCAGCAACAGACTATGATCGATAATGTCAAAAGCCGCACTGAAGTCTAACAAAAAAGCCCCCAGAATCTTGGAGTCCACCTGTGGTAAATTCAATTGATTGGATATGATTTGGAAAGGCACACCCTTGACATATATGGCCCATCCAGTTTAACAGGATTTTTGATAGTTAAAATCTCATCCATAGAATTTGCTTTCTGAGAACCTAAGGGCATTGGGGACGTTTTAGTGGTAAGGCTAAAGCAACCGACTGACGAAAGTCGAGAAGTGAAGTCAGGGGAGGTGCAACCACAGAACAATGAGCCAGATATTTCACCGGATGTATAAATGTGAAGCATCCGGTTTGCTTTTCCACTCACTACCAAATATGGCCAGTGGGAGAAGATGGAGCGAGATGGATTTTGGCTGACATTCTGCTAATTTTCTCATCATTAAACATTTTATCTCCATACAGTATTCAGTTTCTAAAACTAGAATCTGTAACAAACAGCACTGCGTTTTGTAGACTTTACCCAAAGTTGTAAAAAATTGCGTTGTTTAGGAGTGCAGGGGTGAATTTAGTTATTTCACACGGGCACTTCACACAGTAGGCGTTACCTAACAGAAATATGCAAATAAATGCTAGAATGCACCAATAGGATCTCACTAGCTCGCGATTATCTCTACCCACCTCCTTACTTCAAATCAAATCTAATCAAATCAAATTTTATTGGCCACATGCGCCGAATACAACAGGTGCAGACATTACAGTGAAATGCTTACTTACAGCGCTTAACCAACAGTGCATTTATTTTTAATAAAAAAGTAAAATAAAACAACAACAAAAAAGTGTTGAGAAAAAAAGAGCAGAAGTAAAATAAAATAACAGTAGGGAGGCTATATATACAGGGGGGTATCGGTGCAGAGTCAATGTGCGGGGGCACCGGCTAGTTGAGGTAGTTGAAGTAATATGTACATGTGGGTAGAGTTAAAGTGACTATGCATAAATAATTAACAGAGTAGCAGCAGCGTAAAAAGATGGGGTGGGGGGGCAGTGCAAATAGTCCGGGTAGCCATGATTAGCTGTTCAGGAGTCTTATGGCTTGGGGGTAGAAGCTGTTGAGAAGTCTTTTGGACCTAGACTTGGCACTCCGGTACCGCTTGCTGTGCGGTAGCAGAGAGAACAGTCTATGACTAGGGTGGCTGGAGTCTTTGACAATTTTGAGGGCCTTCCTCTGACACCGCCTGGTATAGAGGTCCTGGATGGCAGGAAGCTTGGCCCCAGTGATGTACTGGGCCGTACGCACTACCCTCTGTAGTGCCTTGCGGTCAGAGGCCAAGCAGTTGCCATACCAGGCGGTGATGCAACCAGTCAGGATGCTCTCGATGGTGCAGCTGTAGAATTTTTTGAGGATCTGAGGACTCATGCCGAATCTTTTCAATCTCCTGAGGGGGAATAGGCTTTGTCGTACCCTCTTCACGACTGTCTTGGTGTGTTTGGACCATGATAGTTCGTTGGTGATGTGGACACCAAGGAACTTGAAGCTCTCAACCTGTTCCACTACAGCCCCGTCGATGAGAATGGGGGCGTGCTCAGTCCTCTTTTTTTTCCTGTAGTCCACAATCATCTCCTTTGTCTTGGTCACGTTGAGGGAGAGGTTGTTATCCTGGCACCACACGGCCAGGTCTCTGACCTCCTCCCTATAGGCTGTCTCATCGTTGTCGGTGATCAGGCCTACCACTGTTGTGTCGTCGGCAAACT